GAAAGAAAGAAAGAAAGAAAGAAAGAAAGAAAGAAAGAAAGAAAGAAAGAGAGAAAGAGGGAGGGAGGGAGGGAGGGAGGAAGGAAGGAAGGAAGGAAGGAAGGAAGGAAGGAAGGAAGGAAGGAAGGAAGAAAGAAAGAGGGGGCCGGAGGCAGAACAGAAGACCAAACAAGCCAAATCAGTTGCTACTACAGATGGTTTAACACAACATAAACATCTGATGACAAAGAGGGCAGCTAACTAATGCCATTCATCACCATGCAGTCTTCAAAACTTCAAGTTACAATGAAGGCACAGGCCAGCTGACCTCTCTTCCGCTGGCTGCTTGACTGAGCCTCATCCTCGCTAACATTCTCAATAGGACCATCTAGTTTTGCTTCCCGGTTCTCTTTGCTCTCACTGTTGCTTCTTTTTTCAATCTTCTCTTCTTTTTCTTTTCTGATTTGTGGCTTCTTATTTCCTTGGCTGATAACATTCTGAGACTGCAGAAAAAAAAAAGTGTTCTCATTTCTATTAACATTTCACTACAATAAAAGTCAATATACCTATTCTAAAAATTTTGTTAAACAAATGAGAAAGAAAATAAAAACCTAGAGGGTGGGCCACTTGTCTAGTACTATAAATATAAGGTGCTGGGTTAGATGCCCAATTTCACTAACATACATGAATATGCTGCCATCCTTAGTCAAAAAAATGCAAGTAAGTTAACCACACATTATTACAATGGATAGTTTTAAAAACTAACCAAAATAAGAGTTATTGAGACCGTGAAGTAACTGGAATTCTTCTGTAGACCAGGCTGGCCTCAAACTCACAAAGATCAGCCTGACTCTACCTGCTGGAATTAAAGGCATGTACCACCACTGCCTGGCCAGTAACTAGAATTCTTAGACACCACCAATGGGAGTGAAAGCTTGCCAGTTTCTTAAAAACACTAAATATTTATTCTTTTTCTTCTAGTTATCTACTATGAGGAGAAAAAAAGAGAAATATCCATTCAAATTTTAAAAGTCCACCACAATTGAGTGGACAGAGTTATAGCCATGAATTGAAATGTATCACTGGTACAACATAGAGGAATCTCAAGATAATATTACTATACACAGAAAGTACAAACAGTTCGTAGGAGCAGAAAGGTTATCAGGTGTGGCTGGATGGTGGGGAAGACTGCAACACTCACAAGCAGGAGAAGAGCTCATTTTCTGGTGGTGGTTATGGACTTACATGCATATTCAGATAAAAACCTATCACATTAAGGCTGGGATGGTGATACAATCCTCTAATCCCAGCACTTGGATGGCAGAGGCAAGCAGGTCTCAATGAGTTTGAGAGCAGCTTAGTCAACAGAGTGAGTTCTAGGATAGTCAGAGTCAAAAAATAAAATGCAATCCCTCCCCAAAAGTAATGATAATTAGGGGCTGAAGAGATGGCTCAGCAGTTAAGAGTACATGTTGCTTCTCTAGAGGACCTGAGTCAAGTTCCCAGCTCTGTTTCTTACCACCACTTTTAATTACAGTCCCAGGCTGGCTTTCTGACCTCCATAGGCACCAAGTATGCACATGGTGCCCCTTAGGCAAAATACTTAACACACATTAAATGAATGAATCTAATTTCTTTAGTTAAAAAGATAAAATGTAATCCTTTTTGGAAAAAAAAAAATCATAGAACAACACAAACACCTTACCCCAACTTCTGGGGATACAGCCAGGTAGGAAAATGTAAATACAAGCAGTATCTTATAATTGAGTAAAACTATAAAAAGGATAGTTGTCAAGTTTTTATCATCTTATCAAGAGATATACACATATAAAGTGTAAAATTAATTTATCATAATTTATATGTGATCATTATTACAAAAAAAAATCAAAGCTAAAGTGCACTCTGGGTAAATGTTAAACCATCAAACTCATTACTAATACTACTTGCAGCAAAGGATATTGCATGTCAAAATAATGCTGCTGATGAGCCACATCTTTAAATACACCAATCACAGCAAATAATGTTGAGATAAGAATTTTCTTTTTAAAACAAACTTAAATACACACTTACCCCTGTGTTCACCAGTTCACCTGGTGTTGGCCAGTTTGCCATATCACTGAAGTCACTAGCCTAAAAAGTAATAAAATCAAGTGTTATAACTGAATTTTTTTTTTTTAAACAGAAAAAAAAAATTGCTAAAAGCATTTTTTTGTAGCCAGGCATGGTGGTACATGCCAGCAATCTTATCATTTAAAAGTAATTCAAATCAACCCTGGGGTGCAAAAGGCTGGGCTATGAGGAGGAGACCCCTTCTCAGCAAAAGAAATAAGTTAGATGTAGTGCCACATGCCTTTGATCACAGCATTCAGGAGGCAGAGGCAGGTGAATCTCTTGAGTTTCAGGCCAGCCAAGGCTATGTAGGGAGATCCTATCTCAACTCAAGGGGAAAAGAAGCAACAACAAAGCCAAATAAAGCAACAGTAATTATTTAAAACCACCTATATTTACTTATATGCAGACCTGGCGCATTAATTAAACTATTTCTCAACCACTTTGAAGTAAAAATTCAGTGGTCTTAGAATCAGATTGTTTCAAAACCAGTTAAAAAGTACTCCTTGTAAAGGCATACCTTGTTGGATTTCTTTGTCTTGAGTTTTCCCGCTTTTATAATTTTTGGGGAACTGAGCTCTAAAGAAAATATACAAAATTGCTTTTACAACCATTTCATTTAATAAGTTTAGCAAAATTAAGTATTAATTTCAATTTTAGCAAGTTAGCATAGTTAGCACTCCCAAGAAAATCCAAGTTTCTGGAACTCAAATTCCTAGAAGGTCATCAACTGTAATATGCAAATCAAATGCTACCCACATTTAAAAAGTGTAAAATATTAGCTGGGCAGTGGTGGCCCAAGCAGGCCTTTACTCCCAGCACTTGGGAGGCAGAGCCAACTGGATCTCTTTGTTCAAGGCCAGCCTGGACTACAAAGCAAATTCCAGGAGCTACATAGAGAAACCTTGTCTCAAAAAAAAAAAAAAAAAAAAAAAAAAAAAAAAAAAAAAAAAAAAAAACAAAGAAAGGAAAGTAGAAACTACTTTCAGTAAAGTAGAAACTACAGTAAACTGACAGAACAATCCTTTAGTAAAATATAAAAAAACTAAAACTTTAACTTCTAGCAAAATTCTACTCCACCCACTTTCTTACTCTCTGTCTCTCTGTCTTGTCTTTCTCTCCCTAATTTTTGGCATGTCATAAATAGGAAAGCAAGGTGTTCTACCTCTGAGTTACAGCTCCAGCCTTCAACTCACTTTGTAACAGGATAAATTATTCTATATGATACGTTCACCAAGAAGCATTTAGAAAAAGTGTTATAAGATTTTAAACTACTTCTAAGAAACAAACAGGTTTGGCAGCCTTAATAGAGTACACCCAGTATCTCTGTTAGGGATTCTATTGCTGTAAAACACCATTACCAGATGGCTCAGTGGTTAGAAGCACTTGTTGCCCTTGCAAAGGACCTGGGTTCAGTTTCTATTGCCTCCGTGGTGGTTCACAACCATCTATAAATGCAGGTCCAGGGAATCTAACACCCTCTTCTGACCTCTGGACACTAGACACACACATGGTACACATATATACACATAGGCAAAGCACTGATACACATAAATTAAACAAATATTTAAAAAACAAACAACAAAACCACCATCAGCAAAAGCAACTTGGAAGAGGAAAGTGCTTGTTTTATCTTATACTTCCCGATTAAGAGTCCATCCCAGAGGAAAGCCAGGGCAGAATCCTACAGGCAGGAGCTGAGGCAGATGGGTGCTGCTTAGTAGGTTGCTCCCCATGGCTTTCTCAGTCTGCTTTATTATAGCAGCCAGGCCCACCAGCCCAGGGGTCAGAGTAGTAGCACAACATATTGGGTCTTCCAACAACAACCATTAATTAAAATGGCCCACCTGCTTGCTTACAGGCCAATTTTATACAGGAATTTTCTAAATTGTATTTCCCTCTTCTTAGATAGTGCTAGTTTGTGTCAAGTTGACTAAACAAAGAAATAAATTGAAATAATAAAGTAAAACAGCCACCCAACCAGGACACCCAAAACCCAGCCACACAAAGGAAAGTAACTGGTCTCAGGATTCCATGGCAGGTAGAGTTTATCCAATATGCAAGGTTGGTGCCTCAGCAAACAACACAGACAACTACTGCATCATCAGTTGTTACCTTGAAAGAAAGCACAATGGTGGATCATGCCTCTAACCCCAGCACTTGGGAGGCAAAGACAGGTAGATCTCTGAGTTAAAGGCCATTCTGGGGCAACACAGAGAAAATCTGTCTTGACAAAAAACAAAAACAAAAAAACCCAGACAAACAAAAACCATCCCACCCCCAAGAAAAACTATCTTTAAACCAGGTGGTGGTGGAACAGAGGATCTTTGTAAGTTTGGGGCAAACCTGGTCTACAGAGCTGGTTCTAGGACAATCAAGACTCTACACACACACACACACACACACACACACACACACACACACACACCCATAGAAGATACGCAGAGGGCTGCCAGCCCCATGCACCTGCAGTGGGAGCCACTACATGTGCAAGTGTGTGGTGGAGAGATGGGAAGTAGAATGCTTTGAACACTATGAAGAAAGTGCAAAACTAGAGACTCAGGGTGGAAAGGAAGAACCTGATGTAAGTAGCCAGTCCTGCCACCTGAGGCCATGGCAAGTCCAGGCCACGCTCCTGGTGAGGGCCATGTCTGAGTCTGTGGTCATGCAGCAGCAGGGTCCGTATCAATGTCCCTGCATCAGATTACCACTAAAGAAATTTCAGAAGTCCCTAGTCTGGGAGGCCATATTGATGTCCAAGGGCTGAGCAGAGCTGGCTCCACCCCCTTGCCAGTTGCAGCACTCAGGAGAGTAGGCCCTGCACCTCACCTGGGTAGCACAGTAGAGCTGGCTCCGGGTGGTAGATGCGTGGATAAGCCAGCCCTGAACTTCATCTGCCAGCAGTGGTTGTGGGCAAGGGAGAGATGCCTCCCTCTCCCCTGGAAACCTGTGGCAGGTGAGAAAACTAAGCTCCAGGTCACAACAGCAGAATTGCTGTCCCTGCCTGTCACCAGCTGCAGCATTCTGGAGAGCAGGCTGTGGGCCTCACCTGAACAGCACTGTAGAGTTGACCCTGGTGCTGGGGTCAGGGTGAACCAGCCCTGAAGGCATGGGAGAGCTGGCCCTGCCTCTTGCCCAATGTGACATTGTGTGAACTAGCCAGAGCAGTGCTGGAGAGCTTGCCCTGGTGGTGTGTGATTAAGAAAGCTGGCAGGCTGACCAACTCCGCTACCACCCAGGCCCAAGATCCAGGGCTTTGAGTTGGCCCAGCCTAACATACACCCCATCTATGAACTGCTGAAGCAAGTGAAGAATTAAAAGTCCTATGAATCCAAAGCTGAAGGATCTCTACAGAATATCTGAGAGGAGTCCCTATGAAGATCCAGTATTGATACTGTGGCAGAAGCCAGAGGCCTCCATCCAGGCCTAATGTCTCACTACAATAAACATTTGCAAGTAAGCCTGTATAGGCAAAAAAGTATACTGTGGGACACACTGTGACACACTACAGCTTCCACGAGAATTTTATTATTTGGTTGGTTTTGTTTTTCTTTCTTTTTCTTTTCTTTTTGAGCACATGTCTCAAGGGTGGAGGGTGAACACAAAGGAATGGGGATTGGGAGTGGGTTCATTTTTTTGATGCTACATCTGGATATGTAGATGTAGTCCTGGCTGACTGGAACAGGCTATGCAGACCAGATAGCCTCAAACTTGCAGCGATCCTCCTGTCTCCACTTTCCAACCTAGTATTGGGATCCTAGGGATCAGCCACCACTACCAGCCATAACAGCCTGGGACTGGGAGATTCTACCATCTATATGTGCTACAATAAGTCTCTCTCCCTCCCCCACCTCCCACACTACCTCCTCCACATTGTAAGACTAACATTTATTAACAAGGCAACAGGGAAGCTGCGGCTGGGGGAACTACCAAAAGTTCAAAACCAGGCTGGCTGCAAACTGAAATTCTCTTTGAAGTGGGGAGGAGAGCTGGAGAGATGGTTTCCTGGTTAAGAGCTCTTCCTGTTCTTCCAAAGGATCTCAGTTTGGTCATGTAGGTCCTGTAACATCTCATAGCCTCTCACATACAAACCCCTCCCACATACATACACATAACTAAGATTAAAATAACAGTCATGCATAGTGGCACAGGTCTTTAATCTTCAGCTCTCAGGAGGCAGAAACAGGCAGATTTGAGATTTGAGAATTTCAGGATAGCCAGGGCTATATAAAGACCTCGTCTCAAATAAACAAAGGAACCATACATATATTTTTGAGACAGGGTTATTCTTTTCTTTTTTTTTTTTCTTTTTTCAGTGTTTCTCTGTGTGGCCTTGGCTGTCCTGTTCTCACTTTGTAGACCAGGCTGGCCTCAAATTCACAGAGATCCTCCTGCCTCACAAAGTGCTGAATTACAAGCTTGGGCCACCATACCCAACCCAGTGTTGTCCTGGAACTCTCTCTCTCTCTCTCTCTTTGTAGACCAAGCTGGCCTCAAACTCAGAGATCTGCCTGCCTCTGCTTCCTGGGATTAAAGCCGTGCACTACCACTGCACAGCTAACTGTATTAAAAAAAAAAAAAAATACCAAAGAAAGAAGATAACACCCAGACATGGTGGCACACAACTTTAATCCCAACACTCTGGAAGGCAGAGAGGCAGGAGGATCTCTGTGAGTTCAAGGGCAGCTTGGCCTACTGAGTCCAGGATAGCCAAAGCTACACAGAGAAACCCTGTCTCAAAAGAAAGAAAAAAACAAAACAAAAGAATGAAGGTAACATGGCATGGTGGAATGTGCCTGTAATATTCTACAAGGACATGGAATAGGCAGCATGTATATGTGCATACGTTCATGTACATTGTGTATGAAAACATATACCATAAAACACACACCTTGGCAGAAATCAACATCTCTCTAACTGAACTAAAGATCCACTCAGCAACAAACAGAAAAATCATGTTTGATACAGGAAACTTAGCCAACTACCCTGGGTTAGTGAAATCACAAATCTTGGGAGGGTTACCTACAACCAGCACTTTCCTAAGACAGCATACTCCCTAACTATATTCTAAATATTTGTCCTATACCCAATCGTAGTTCCCCCTTCTCATCAAGGAAACTTGAAACTTCTCTTTAAGAAAACCACAATCAAATGCAGAGTTGTGGAACCTAGTCCCATAGGATACAACTGTGATACAACTCACTCACCTATGGCTTAGGGAACATTGCAAAAGGGGCAGAAGATAGTAAGAGCCAGAGGATCAAGGAGTTTGGTATGGTTTTGGGTCTCATAGGAATGCCAGAAATTACACCCGTAGTCTTACCAATATGACTACCTAAATATGAGCTGAACAAGGACAATACCTATAAAAGACAGAGGGATGACCACAAAGCCTCAATCCTACACAAAAAGCTACAAACTGCAAAGAAGTACTGAAAGAGGAAGAAAGTTTTCTCCAGAGAACACAACAATCGGTTATACAGTACCAAATGATCAGCCCTGAAAAACATATATACAAGGAACATTATACAGAGCAGGTTGTATTTATGTATAGAAAAAGAAACATATATGTAACAATG